GAAAGCTTTGCTAAATTTTTATACTGGTATTAATTTTCTGAACAACAGATATATAAAAGAAAATTATCTCTTTTTTAAAGTCATGATAAAGAGGCTGAATGTATATATCAATCTTCTCACTCAACCAAACACTTGGATTTAATGTTCACTTTTCACATGTCTAGCGTGGTCCTGGTATTACTGTGCACACCTGTCTTAGTTCCAGCACACCTGTGCATCCCCAGATTTGGTGCTCCTGCACAGCCCACTTAGCCAATNTAAGGGCAAGCCAGAAGCCACCAGCTGCCATTCAGGGAGCACAGCATCTTTGTCAGACCTTGTGTTTGGCACTTTGTATTCTCCCCCTTCTATTCCCTTTATGTTTGCAACAAACCATAGTGTAAGCTTTCATATTCGTGAAGAAAATTTTGGGTTTAAATAATTTTATAGGAGGGGAAATGGCATTATAGGCAAGAGTAGAGACTTTTGAGTGTATATTTTTTAAACACTGATTTGGTCACAGCACACAAGTTATATCCTAATAGCCCCACTAATAAACCCTCTTGTGAAATGAAAAGTAATAAGATAATTTCTTAGGACCTTTTCAAATTTTTAATTTCTGTGCTTTATATTTTTGTATCATAATAGTAACTTTTTTATAGTACAAAAAACTGGCTGAATATTGGCATGCTTTAAAAATATGAATCATTTGAATTAAGATGGTTTTACCCAATTGCCATTAGAGCACATAATCCTCATTATGCACATACTCTAATTGTGAAAGCTTTGCTAAATTTTTATACTGGTATTAATTTTCTGAACAACAGATATATAACTTGGGAGAGTGTGGTGCTAACAACACCAAGTCAAGGGTTAAGATCCCCTTATCGGTCATCTTTAAAAAAAAACTGAATGGAAAAGTAGAAAGCCTGAACAGACCCAATAACAAACAAGGAGATTGAATCAATAATCAAACACCTACCAGCAAAGAAAAGCTCAGGACCAGATGGCTTCACAGGTGAATTCTAGCAAACATTGGAAGAAGGATTAATACCAATCCTTCTTAAAATCTTTCAAAAACAGAAGAGGAGAAAATGCTTCCAAACTTATTTTATAAGGCCAGAACCACCATGATAGCAAAGCCAGACAAAGATATCACAAGAAAAGAAAACTACAGGCCAATATCCCTGATGAACATGGATGCAAAAATATTCAATAAAATACTAGCAAACTGAATTCAACAGCACATTAAAACAATCATACACCATGACTAAGTGGCATTTATCCCTGGGATGCAAAAATGGTTCAACACACACAAATCTATCAGTGTGATATACCACATTAACATAGTGAAAACTAAAAATCATATAATCATCTCAATTAGATGCAGAAAAAGCATTTGACAGAATTCAAAAGCAATACATGATAAAAACTCTCAACCAAATGGGTATAGAAGGAGCTTACCTCAACACAATAAAGGCTGTCTATGAAAAGCCCATACTCTAAGTCAGAAATTGTCTCTAGAGATAATGAAGGTCATTATATAATGGCAAAAGGGTCAATTCAACAGGAAGAGATAACAATTATATACACAGCCAACATCAGAGTTCCTAAATGAATAAAGCAAATATAGACAGATCTGAAGGGAGAAATTCACAGCAATACAGTAATAGTAGGAGACTTCAGTACTACTCTTTTGGTGAGGATAGAACATTCAGACCAAAAAATTAGTAAAGAAACAGCTGACTTGAATAACACAATAGACCAAATGAATCTAACACAGAACTTTTCATCCAACAGCAAATACACATTCTTCTGAAGTGCACATAGGACATTCTTTAGGATAGATCATATTAGGCTACAAAACTAGTCTTAATATATTTAAGAAGATTAAAGTCATTCCATATATTTTCCCAACCACAATGGAATGAAACTAGAAATTAATAACAGTAAGAAAATGGTAAAATTCACAAATACATGGAAACTAAACAACATATTCTTGAACAACCATTGAGTCAAAGAGACAATCAAAACAGAATTTAGGAAATTTTTAAGATAAATGGAAACACACATATCAAAACTTTAAGAGGCAACAAAATTAGTGATAAGAGGGAGGTTTATAGTGATAAATGCCTACATTTAAAAAAGAAAATAAAGACTTCAAACAATCTAACTGTACACCTCAAGGAACTAGAAAAAGAAAAACAAACTAAGCCTGCAATTAGAAGGAAGGAAATAATAAAATCAGAGCACAAATAGAGAAAAGAAAAATAACAGAAAAAAATCAGCAAAACTAAGAGTTGGTTTCCAGGAACAATAAACAAAATTGATAAACCCTCAGCTAGGCTAA